ACGGAATGTGGCTGGTGAGCAGGGCCTGGGGGAGGCTCAGGCCGTCTGCAGACACAGTCCCACCGCAGTTGCAACTTCTCAACACAGCCGCCTCCTTTCTCAGTGTGCTGGCATCTTCCATCCCCCCCCAGACCTACTCTCCATCTGTCTCCACCCCACTCTGTGCCCTGGGAGGCTGACTTAAAGGTCTGCATCAACCAGCTCCCTTGACCTGTGGCTGCTGGCTGAGTTCAGCCAATGGGAGACCCTGGCAGGAGATCTGAGGGTGGGGAGACGAGGAAGTCTCTCACCTTCCTGCCGGCCAGCTGGGGTTGGACGTCGCCATGGTCCTCTACCTGCAGATGCACTTCCCTCCCTGTGGCCCTCTCCTACAGCTCTCTTTTTGCTTCTTCTCTCCTTCCTTCAGGCGTACTGTGGCAATCACCCCATTTGAGTGTGTCATTTATTGTTCACACTGCTCTGGGCTCGGAGGCCAGCCCCATATCCCCTACTTTCTGGTTAAGTTCCAGATTTTATTTTCTCTGGGCCCCGCAGCATGGTATGTGGGATCTTAGGTTCCCGACTGGGGATCCAAACGGCACCCCCTGCGGTGGAAGCTCAGAGTCATAACTACTGGACCACCAGGGAAGTCCCTGGTTAAGCTCCATTTAGATGCCAGCCCCCTTCCTTCCTCTTCTGCCCTCATCTCATTCTCACATCTCAAAGCACCAGTTGCAGGCTTCATCGGAGGGGTCAGGGGAAATCGCTCAGAGGATGGGTGTGTCACCCAACTAGCCAGACTGGGGAAGAATGAAAACTCAGCCACCACGCGCCAGCTTCAACAGGAGACCCTGTCATCGCAATCAGGATCATGGCATCATAAAATCCTGGCGACAGGGACCGTGTAACTGTGTTTCTCCAAGTTCCCTGCCCAAGCAACCAATCAGTAGCGGAGAGGTCATGCTTGTTCTGGGAGTGTCAGGGGACATACCTTGAGTATCTGGTTACCTACAAGTCATTGTTTTGAGATCTCGTATTTTAACTTAGAATCCCATGCAAAATCTCACATTTGCCCTAGAAAAATAGCGTTCTTCCCCTAGGGCGTTGGGGAGGATTGGGCTCCGAGAAGACGCACTATGTTTATCCTGCGGTGTTGAGTGTCCCCCGCTCAGGGCCACAGAGCGGAGGGGACTCTAGCCTACAAGCTCCACCTGGCAGGGACCAGCAGGCCTGATAATGGAGGCCTGCAGGGGAGCTGGGGGCAGCAGGAGGGGAGGCGGCCCCTTCCACCCGTGGCCTTGCCCACGTATCTTGGAAGGTCCCTTGAAGGAGGTGGAGATAGGCTGCTGCTTGTGTTCTGTTGGGTCCCCGCTCAATGCATGAAGGGCAGCCGATGCGCTATTTACCGGGAAGACTTAAACTTAGAAGAGTATCATTCGTTCCATTGTATTAATTGTTGTTTAGAGATTTCCCCAATGTTTTATGCATATTTAAAGGAATGCGTCCCAAAGCCACCCACTCTTTGGCTGACAATTCAGAACCAGGACGCTTTTGGAACACAGAGTCGCTGAGACTCCCCATTCCCACCCCAGCTCAAACCTCCCTGACACACGCACACATACATACACACACGCACATACTTGTCCCTGTGTTCAAAAACAAGCAACAGTGATGCTATCAGTGCCTACATATAGTTAAAAAATGAATTTAGACTCGGCCAGGCCCTCAAGGAGTTGGCTGCCCTAGGACAAAGCTAGTAGCCATTTATTGAAGAGCTGGGCATCAGGGACTCTGGCTCCTGGAGCCCCAGGAGTCCTTAAGACCTGCCAAGAGGGCAGCCAGTTTCCTAGCTCCACACACACCCCTGGGCCGCTGGCTCCGCCCCTCCCCCTCCTCATCACATCACTGCCCTGAGCTGTCTGTCCCCTACGGCCCTTCCTTCTTTCCCCCACTCCCCGCCCCGCCCGGGCATCCTCCATGGACGCTGGCTCTGCAGCAGACGAAGGGCACTGAGGAAGTCTATGGTGGTTCGCAGCCTAGGGGCTCTTTTGGCAGAATCTGCAGTGGAAAGGACTTGGACTTTGGGGCCAGCCAGACCTCAGTCCAAATGTAAACTCTACCACAGGCTAGCTTGGGGACCTTGGGCCAGGCAAGTAAAGTCTCCGAGCCTCAGTTGTCTCATCACTAAAATGGGGCCACGAATTATACATCTCAGGGATGTTTCATGAAACGTGCACGCAAAGCCTGTCCCCTTCTGCCCCCTCCTGGTGTGTGGACCTCTTGTGGGCCTCAGGGTCCAGCCCGGACGTCCTCTTTGTGGGAAAGGACGTTGGTGGGGGGCAGGCGAGCCTCCTCCCGCCCCAAGGACCCCACCTCACCTCTCTCTTCAGGACATGGTGCTGCCACCTGGGCAGCTCCGGGAGCAGCTCCTGCAACAGGTGCTGCTGCTCTAGTTGCAGGGCCTCCTTCAGCTGCAGCATGTAGGCCCTCTTCTGCACCTCGGCCGCGCTGAGCTCCACCACCCGCTGTTCGTGCTTCCAGACGGCCTGGTCCTTGCCCGCAGCCAGCGGGAGGGGCTGAGGCGGTACATACACCTCCAGGTGAGTGACGGTCAGCTTGACGTCCTGGTCCTGGCCAAGGACGTACTGGTAGAGTTTGTAGTGGCGGATGAACGTGTTGTGGAAGTAGTCGCACTGGGCCAGCAGGTGGGTGGTGTTCAACTGCCCCCGGTAGTCTCTGAGCTTGTTCCCCAGGATTGTCACAGCCTCAGTGGTGGAGCAGCCTGTGGGCACAGAGGGGCCGGGCATCGAGTGTGAATGGGGCTGAAGCTGCCTTGATGGCTGATTGATAGACTTGGACCCCAGAGTCCACGTCCTACCAGCTATTCTATGTCACCATCTATTAGGTCTTGAAAGCCGTGGAGTGCATCATGTTTCCCCTTTTACCTTGGCCTCTGGGATGCTCAGAGGCAATTCTATGCAGTAGCTTACCTTTATCCCATTTGTTCTGATATGGTTATCTCACGCCTTATCTCTATTTTGACACGTAACTCTTGTTTTAAAGACTTATTTCAGCTGTGCTTTATGTTGTTTCCACTTCAAACCCTTTGGGAAGGAGATGAGGGTATAAAAAAGGATTCTGAATCGAATGGAGCATGAGATGATTGGAGAGACATTATATTGGTGACTTGGGTCACAGAGTTCGGCAAGTGTTGCTTAGACCGCGCAGAGATCAATCATTTCTGAGGGTAGCACCGGGCAACGCTCCTTGGAGGGTAAACCGCCTTCTCCCATGTCCTCCCTTTCACGCCTCTTGTTCACAAGCCTGTCAGAAGCCCGGGGTAGGGGTGTGGTTGGGGCTGGGGCAGGACTCTCTCCGGCGTATGATTGCGTCTTAAGACAGGGATGGTTCATTAAAGGGTCGCAGCTAAACGAGGTGCGTGTCCTGTGAACGGACCCCGGGCAGGGAGAGGGCAGAACAAGGGACAGAGAATGACCCTGGCCCCAGTGTGCGAGGAGACCTGAGTCCTCACACGGATGCCGTCCCCGAGGCGCACTGTGAACTCGGCCAAGTCTCACCCGCCCCCTGACTCAGGGTCAGCTCTTCAGATCAGGAGCTTGGGCACAGGCTTTGGGGGATTCCACCCATTCATCTATCCACCCATCCATCCATTATCCGTCTACCCACCCACCCATCCATCTCTCCATTCATCCATCTCTCCATCTATCCAACCATCCAGTCGCTCATCATCTATTCATCATCTCTCCATCAATCAACAATTAATTTGTCAAACTGTTACTGGGGGCCTATTAACTACTAGGCACTATGCTAGGTTCTAGCAATATTATCATGCGTCTTATCAGATGCAGCTCTTGCCCTCAAAGTTCTCACAGGAGAGATACACGAGCAAACGTTAATACACGTGTAAAGAGGACCAGAATCGGGTGATGAGGAATGCTCAGCTAAGGATGGGTTCTCCTGGAGAAGACGATGCGTGAGTGACATCTCAGAAGCTGAGCAGGACTGAGCCAGCAAAGGTGGTGGGGGAGGCATGGCCTGGGTACAGTGTAAGCGAGATCAGAGGGGCAAGCAGCCACATGGCACGGGTGGGGAACAAGACCGAGTGTGTTGTTGTCGGCACCTGAATGTAGAGGCAGAAAACGGCAAGCGTTGAGTGGAGAGGTGGGTGGAAAGCACACGGGAGGGCCTTGAGTGCTGTGTTCAGAAGCCAGGGCTTTGTACCGCAGGCAGTGCAGGGCTTGCCCAGGGAGACTCTGGTTACATGGTGGCCTGTGGGCAGACTGCGGCCCAGTCCGGACTGGAGTGCCAGGTCAGCAGGCATGGGCAGAAGGGGCAGATTTGAGTGGCAGGACTGATGGCCAGATGTGGAGGGGGATAGAGGCCTGCCCGACTCCCAGGCTCTTCCTGGGGACCCTTGGGGAGTGGGAGCGGGGGACACCAAGAGTATATGATAAGCGTGGGACATTTACCTCTGTTGTGACCCCTGTCCTCAGAGACCTTCCAGTCTGTGGAAGAGGAGACTGTTGAACAGATGACATCCCCTCTTTGTTCTCAGCCCCCAACTCAGAGCTCTGTGCTCAGTAGGGGCCGATAGGTATCCAGTGAGTAAATGAACACATTCTGACATGTGAAGTGTGGTGAAGGAGCTGTTCATTTATCCCTTCAACAAATATTCGTTAGGGGCCTTCTTTCCATGTGTCAAGAACCCATTTATGGTCCAGGAAGGTGGTGAAAGGCTGGGGGGAAACACACAGATAGTATAACCCTGCTCAGGGCTACGTAGGGCTGGGCAGGTGCACAGTAGAAAGAAGTGACTTTCTCAGGGAAATCGGGGAGCAGTTCCCTGAGGAAGTGGTGAAGGAGCTGAGATGGGGAGTGTCAGAGGAGTTACTGGGCAAAGAGAGGTGGAAAAGAATGAAAGCAGAGAGGGGAAACAGCCTGTGCAAAGGCCCTGTGGTTGGATAAAGCGTGGCCCATTTGAGGAAATGAAAGGCTGGGGGTTGGAAGGTTGGCAGGCTAGAGAGCATCCGGTGGGTCCCACTGTTTCTCACAGGGGCCTCCCAGACCACTCCACCCCACACCACAGCCTTATCAACTGGTTACCTTCCTGTATTAAGCAAAAGTTGAAAGTTAAATTTACTGAAAATAGTTTTTAAGAAATTAATTTTGTCCATTGTTTTGCCAGAAAAATAACAGTTTTGAATGACATTTTAAGACTTGCTTGCATTGCTCTCATCATTATATGTTTGTATACATTCTTCTTTGTCTACATAATTTGACAATTTACGCACATAAATAAGTCACATTAAAATTTACTCAGAAAGTATAGTTAAGTTCAACGTTGACAGCTTTTCAGTTTTTAATCTAACTTTCAAATGTTATTTAGTCATCTTTAACTTTGCATCGAATATAAAAGGTAAACTTTATGTGTATAAAACAGATATACATATAGTATATCATCAGATATACAGAATACCTAGGATATTAAAATTCGATAGCAGTGGGCAGTTAGGGAAGAACATCTAAAATGGCTTCTCAGAAGGATCCAGCAATCCCACTTCTAAGTATATACCCAAAGAAATGAAATCAGGGTCTTGAAGAGATATCTGCACCCCCATGTTCATGGCATTATTTACAAGAGCCGAGATACGGAAACAGCCTAAGTGTCTGCCATGTCTGTAGACGAATGCATGGTTAAAGAAGTTGTGATACACACACACACACACACACACACACACACACACAATGGAATACTATTCAGCCTTAAAAAAGAAGGAAATCCTGTCATTGGCAACAACATGGATGGACCTGAAGGAGATTAAGCTGATTGAAATAAGCAAGACACAGAAAGATAAATACTGTGTGATTCTGCTTGTATACGGAATCTAAAAAAGTGGAACTCGTAGAAGCAGAGGGGCAGGTGCAGGGATCCACACCTGGTTCAGAGTTTCTGGGAGGCAAGGCTGAAGTCTGGGGGACTGGGCTGGGGGACAGACGGCCTGAGGTCTTCAGTCTGCAGAGGGTAACAAGCTGTGTAGGTCACATGAGAGAGCTGGGCTTCGTCACAGAAGCTGGGCTCTTGAACCGGAATTCACGAAACGCAAGGACATCCGAGGAAGGGCTTCAGGACTGACCGGGACCCCGGAATTGCATCTCGAATTTTGCATATGCACATTTTTTCTGGGGAGAGTGCACGTTAGAGAGACTCATCAAATTCCTACAGGAAAAGTGAAGAATCTCGGCTCAGAGCTGCGGACCACTCAGAGGCATTAAGCTGAGAAGCGAGATGTCAGGCAGGTATTTCCGTAGGATAGTACGTGGAGGACGGCGGGGACGGCCAGTGAAGGTGTCCCAGAGGGCAGGCAGCAGTGTGGGGTCATCGGTCTCTGATAATCAAAGCTGGACTTGAGGCCTGTTTGGAGGCATCTTTGTGTGAACTTGGTGAGGTGAATCATGGAAACTTCTCTGGGCTCTGAGGAACTGGATTTGCAGGAAGGCACCCTGCTCCTCCTCCCACCTGGCCAGGCAGCACGTGGGGCTGGGGTCACCTGCACCCTCCAGATATGGGCAGCCCCGGCTGCCTCGTTCGGCTAGGCCAGCCCTGGTCTTCTGCACTCGGCCCTGGCAGCCACGCATGGAGCCCAGGTTTGAATCAAGTGCGCGAACCCCGTCGCGCTAACACCCACAGGTATCCCAGCTGCCTGTCATCCTGGCAGATGCCCTCCTACGGGCTTGGCCGTGGCCTCAGCCATAGAACACAAGTGTGGGCCTTGTCCCGGGTCAACAGGGAAGGACCCCTGGGCTGGATTCTAACTTTCAGCCCCAAGACATTCTTTGGACCAGTTCTGGTTTCCAGCAAAAATTGTCCCAAGCTGGCTCAGTGTCCCAAGCTGACACTTGGCCCCCAGACCACCCTCCATTTGTCATGGGTTGAGAAGCCCCTGATGACTCAGAGAGCCAAGGATTAAGTCTCAGGGAGAAGCCTCTGGCTTCGGGAGGACAGATCTGTCCTTGCAAGTTGCTCTTCAATTACAGGGTGTGGCCTTCATTTGCATTGGCTGCTAGGAACTTCCTGAAGACGGTCCGCAAGGGCCTGGAGGCCAGTACCTGCACCGAGTACAGGGGAGGGGCGGAGGGGAGCGCGGGGCCAGAGCGTGGGTGGAATAGCCCAGTTGCTCCAGAATCAGGGCAACAAGGCACTGGGCCTGGATGGGGCGCTCTGGGCTCCCTCCCGCCCATCCCTCACGGGCTGGGTCTGGGGCTGGGCGAGGGCGAGCACAGGGGTGCATCCTGGGGGCTTGGGAAAGGAGAAGAGGGGCTGTTCCTTCGGGTGGGTGAAGGGGAGGATCCAGCTGCCACTGGTGCCCCATGACAAACCAGTTTGTTTGCCCCTGCCTTGGTTGTGAGGGGAGGAACCCAGTCAGGCTGCAGCCTGGCCCGGCTTACCCTTCCCAATACCCGAGCACCTATCAGGGCAGCCTGGGATGGTGGGAAAGGAAAGCCCGCCGCTTCACCCTCCACCCCCATCCGGGGTCCGGAATGCTGCTCCCCGCCCCCTTTCTGCTCTTGAAAAGGTTCTGCCAAACTCATCCGCCCCGCGGCGCCCTTGCCAGCTCAGAAGGGATGTGTTTTCTTTGGCGGGGAGAGGACTCTTGTTCGGGGGGGCTCCCTCTGTGGCCCGCACGCCCTGCGTCATCTCAGGCTCCGCCCAACGCCTCCCAGCAAGGTGAGCGGATGTAGCCACCATCCCCACTTCACCTGTGAGAGAAACTGAGGCTCCAAGAGGTCAAGGGATTTGCTGCAGGGCGCACAGCTGGCGAGTGGCAGAGCCAGAATTCCAACCCCAGCCTGACCGGGCAAGGCCCCTCTCAGCAACCAGACCTAAGAGGCTTGGGCTTGCTTTGTAGACCCTGGAGATGGACACCGGAAGGGCCGGTTTTCCAAAGGTTGTTTTGCAACAGGTGTTACATAAAAATGCATGGCCTTGAACACATGCTGGATCCAGGGAAATTAAACAGATGTCCTGAATATGCTAATGAGCTCAGCAAAATATGCTAATAGGCTCAGCAAACGGCCAAAAAGGGTTGAGCCTATGCGATGTTTCTTAGATTTAGTTGAGGCAAATACAGGCAGACCTTGGAGATATTTCGGGTTCAGTTGCAGACCGCTGCAATGAAGCGAATATTGCCATAAAGCGAGTTTCCCAGTGCGTATGCAAGTTATATTTACACTATAGTGTAGCCTCTTACGTGTGCAATAGCCCTATGTCTAAAAAACAATGTGCATACCTTAATGAACAGATATTTTATTTCTAAAAAATGCTAACCATCATCTGAACCTTCAGCGAGTTGTAATCTTTTTGCTGGTGGAGGGTCTCGCCTGGATGTTGAGGGCCGCTGACCAGTCAGCACTCTGACCACCGTACCAAGGATCTGGTCGTACTGCACCTTGCCAGCCACGTGCTCTGTTTTCAGGCACCATTCACAGTCACGAGGAGGCCCCCAGTGAGCCCAGGGCACCCCTGGCCTGAAGATGGCCTTGACGCTGGGGCCGTTCCTTAGAGCCTGGTGTGGTTTTAAGAAGCACAGACTGGGGGTTCAGACAGCTGTGGGCTCACAGCCTGCTTCTGCTTCTTAACCACTTGTGCGAGTTATTTTGCCTCTCTGGACATCAGTGTTCTCATCTGTAAAATGGAGGCAATAAAAACGTCTACCTCGGGCTTCCCTGGTGGCGCAGCGGTTGAGAATCCGCCTGCCGATGCAGGGGACGCGGGTTCGTGCCCCGGTCAGGGAGGATCCCACATGCCACGGAGCAACTGGGCCCGTGAGCCATGGCCGCTGAGCCTGCGCGTCTGGAGCCTGTGCTCTGCAATGGGAGAGGCTACAACAGAGAGGCCCGCGTACCGCAAACAAAACCCAAAACAACAAAAAAGTCTACCTCGTGGGGTTAGATGTGGGCATATGTGATGGAACTTTCCGAAGTGCCAGGTACACGGGGGCACTCAGTACATCACGTGGTTGTCAGCATCGTCATCGTGAAGATCCTAGGCGTGGCCTCCAGCTCCCCGGGGACTGTGAGCTATTCTGGGATAAATCTGGCTTTCCAGAGGATCCCGCGTGCTCCTCGGGCAATGCATTCCTAGAGGAGCATTCAATCCTCTCCCTCCTGGATCCTCACCTGGAAGCTCTCTCTACCTTGCTGGGGGTGGGTCATGGATGCTGACGTGCTTTTTCTCCTGGCCACACCGGCTGCTGAGGTCAAAGGATGGCTGGGAGTTGGCTGTCCCCAGTTAGGGGGTTCAGAGGGTAGAGGAAGGGGCAACTCTTCTGGTTAGACCATTTACCGAATAACCCAATAGTTCATAGCTCTCCCCAACAACTCTGGAGCATTCTCTTCTCTCTCTCCCTGCTACTGTGAGCTCCTCAGTGGCAGGAACCTGCTCGAATGGACCAGATTTCCCAATTCCAGAGGATCTTTCCAAAAAAACTCTGGACGTGTAGCTGTTGCCCAGTGTTCAGCTCTCAGTAAATAATAATACAACCAGCCTACCCTGGCATGCTACTTTAGAGTTTTAAAGCATTTAATTATCCATCAATTTATTTAATTGGTCATAATCAACTCATAATAGAGGTGACTGCTGTCATTTAACAGATGAGGAAACTGACGCTTAGTGGACCTATGCAAAATCAGGGCTCCAACCCAGATTCCCCAGCTCCAAGGCGAGTACACCTCAGCTCCTGAAGTATTTTTGAGGAGTGAACAGAAGATATGACATATACAGAAGTACAGTACTTCCACTAGGGCATTTTAATTTTAATTTTATTGTGGTAAACTATACACGACATAAAATTTACCATTTTAATCATTTTTAAGTGCACAGTTCGGTGGCATTAAGTCCATTTGCACTGTTGTGTAGCCATCACCACCATCCACCTCCAGGACTTTTTTCATCTTGCAAACATGACACTCTCTCCCCATTAAACACTAAGTCCCCATTTACCTTCTCCTCCCAGCCCCTGGCAACTCTAAGTTCTACTTTGTCTCTACAAATCTGATCACCCTAGGTACCTCATAGAAATGGAATCATGCAGTATTTATCTTCTTGTGACTGGTTTCTTTCCTTTAGCAGAATGTCCTCAAGGTTCATCCATGTTGTAGCATGTGTCAAAATTTCCTTCCTTTTGAAAGTTGAATAATATTCCATTGTATGAACAGACCATATTTTGGTTATCCGTTCATCTGTTGATGGGTTTCTTCTACTGTTTGGCTACTGTGAGTAATGCTGCCGTGAACAAGGGTGTACAAATATCTGTTCCAGTCCCCACTTTCACTTTTTTTGGGTATATACCCAGAAGTGGAATTGCTGGATCATAGGATAAGTGTATGTTTAATTTTTTGAGCAAGTACCCTGCTGTTTTCCCGTTCACTAGGTCTTTTGTGTTTGTTTTAAACATAAACCAATAGTCACATTAAAGGAAAAATCTACCTACACATTAAGATTTAGAAAGACTTTGTTGTCCTTTTAGAGAGTTTCTCCCTGTTCACTTTCCTGGGACTCAAAGGGCAAACACAGGGTCGGGTATTTTAAAGACTGTCATGGGCTTTTGCCCAAGTTCTTCTCTTTGTCCATAGTGGCCCCCTGCCTTGTCTGCTTAGCAAATGCACCCCTCACCCCCATTCCTCAAGAAGTTGGCTAATGCTAAAGGACTTTGGCAAGAAGGACTGCCAAAACTCTGGGGCCAGATGATCTCAGGGTTAATGCTGGTTTTGTTTTTTACTGTGTGACGATTTGCAAGTTACCTAACCTCTCTGAACCTCAGTTGCATCATCACGAAATGGGGACAGTAGTACCCACCCAACAGAGCTTGGTGTGAACATTAAATGCGATGATCCACGTGGAGGGCTTGTATGACAGGACTGCTGAGTGGATGTCCGCTCTTCTCCACGTCCTGGCGCGGTGCTCGGGCGATGCTTGCTGGACAATGGCTGAGTGAGTGGAGCAGGATTAAGCTGATTTGGGAGGGTTCGGAGGTCAGAACGGGAGCCAACAGGCGGAAGGCTCAAAGAGACAGATATCAGTTCAGAAGCAGGAAGAAATTTCTAGAAGCAAGAGCTTTATCAGCGGAGAAGTGAGGAGGCATTTAGCTGGGGAGAGAAATCCTGAATAATGTGTGTGTGTGTGTGTGTGTGTGTGTGTGTGGTGGGAGGGGCCTTGGATCAGGTGACCTCTCGGGTCCTCTTGACTCTAAGAAGCCATGGTGATTTCCACTGAGCTGACAGTCCCCTGTAGCCACATCTAGGGCATCGTGTGTGCCCTCTGCAGCCACCTCAAGTTTGGTGAGGGGCCTCTGACTTTGGATTTCATCCTCCTCCTCATCGTCATCATCCCCGAGATGAAAATGACCACCTAATCCCACCGTCTCAGGGACAGGGCACTGTACTGAGACTAAAAGTTGGCAACTTCTTACCCGTCCCTTGTCCCCTCTGCTGCTGGGGAGCTCAGAGACCGGCCAACACGTCCAGCCGACCGAGGAAGAACGTGGGAAGTTAGAGGGAGAACAGGGAGTCATTCCAAAGGGCCAGAGCTCTGGTCCCCAGGGCACCAGTACCACCTACCCACACTCGGGCACATCCATGCAAGAACACATTAGCCGACGGGCACAGCTCACCCCTCTGGGCTGGGCCTACGCCACCCGCCGCATCGGAGCCGTCCTGCTGGGGCCAGGATCCCAGGCTCGTGCTGGGAGTAGCTCCAGGTGACCAAGTCAGGAACCCAGTCCCCAGGTGTGCCACCTGGCTTTCCAGGTGCTCAGCTCCCCCGGCATGCCAGCAGCCTCGTTCCACTCACCGCAGGGCTGGGGGCTCCTCAGCTTCTTACGTGCCCTGTGTACAGATCCCTCAGGTCAAGATGGAAGGTCGCATGGCCAGGGGTGGAGGCGGGAGGGCGGGGTAGGGGGTGTGCTCTGCTGTCAGACAGACCTGGGTTCAAATCCTGACTCCACTTTGACCTGGGGCAAGCTGGTTAAACTCTCTGGGCCTCAGTTCCTTCATCTTTAAAATAATGCCCACGATGCAAGGTCACAGTGAGGCTTACAGAGGCTACATGCGGAAATGCCAGGATCTCTGTGTCCCCCTACGCAGCAGGGATAGCCCCTCAGGGAACGTTGGGGAAGGTTCCATGGCATGGTTTTGATTTCTGGCCGACTGACGGGCTCATCCTCTCCTGGTGGGCTGTGACCCCACTCGGTGTCAGGGGCTGTGTTAACACAGTGCCCCCCACGCCCCCTCGCCTCCGTCCAATGCATATGTTGAAATCCTAAGCCCCAGCCCCTCAGCATGTGACTGAACTTGGAGATAGCGTCTTTACAGAGGGCATTAAGGTTAAATGAGGTCATGTGGGTGGCCCTAATCCAATAGACTGATGCGTTTATAAGAAGAGATTAGGACAAGATACACAGAAGGGCCATGTGAGATACAGAATGAGGCCACAGGCCGAGGAGAGAGGCCTTGGAAGAAAGCAGCCTTGCTCAGGCCTTGATCTTGGACTTCAACCTCCAGAACGATGAGAAAACACATTGCTATAGTTGAAAGCGCTCAGTCTGCAGAACTTGATTACGGCAGCCCGAGCAAATGAATACGCTCAGGGAGGGATCTCTGGAATGAGAGCTGTACCTTTGCCCCAAGAGATGCTCTAAGATCTCAGTCAGCGGCTTCTGTGGAAACTTCCACTCTCCATCAGCAAAGTTGCCTCCAAAGGCCTCTCCTCCAGGTTTGGTCTGAAAGGCGTGGGGTTTGGGCTGCCCAGGAGAAAGCCGCTGGACAGGCAGCCTTTCAGGAAGACAGAAGGGCCCCTGCTCTCTGCGGGGCCGCTCCTGAGTGGCTGGAGGCTCGCCAACGTGGGCAGATGCTTGGGGGCTGGTGGCGTGGCCCCGGGCATGGTCGTGAGTGCGCTGGCAGGGAGAGGTTGTGCAGGGAGCTTGGGGGAGTCATTGCCTCCCTTCAGCCCTGGGCTGTCGGGGTCGGCTGGAGTGGCTGCCTTCCATCCTACAGCTGCCTGGATGACATTTCCGGGAGAATCAGGAGTGGCCGTGGGTAGGACTGCAGATGCCAGTGCCGTGACGCACTTCACCGGACACTCGCCTGGCCGCCTCGTGCCTCCACCAGCCGGTCATTGAGGCCCACTTCCTCCCAGACTCAGGATTTGGGGGCCAGGCCAGCAGGAAAGGGGTTCTTCCTAGCCCAGACGTCCAGGGGGAACACCAGAGAGAAGCCAGTGGCTGCCAGATGTCGATGACGACACGAAGCAGAAGCTGCAAAGTGGCTGAAGTGACGGTGGGCAGGTGGTCACAGGCCCCGGGCGAGCATCTGCGCTGGCTCGGGTGCCTGCAGCCTTGAGTGAAGCCTGGGGCAGGGGGAGGCTGCTCTCCACCCGCTTCCCCTGCTGCAATGTGCCCGTCGGAGATAAGAATCGTGGGGCTTCCCCAGGCACCCTGAACCTCTGCAGCTCCCCGAGGTCCCCAAATGGCCCAGCATCTCTCTCCTTTCCTCTCCGGGACCCGAGGCAGGGTATGCAAGAGCTGCTGCTTCCTGTGATTTCCTCCCACCGTGATGGGGCTGGCAGCCTTCTGTCCTTCTGTGTCCAGACTGGTGACTTCACCCTGGGCCCCAAGGACGCAGCAGGATGGGATCT